GTTTCGACAAGTACCTGATGATGACAAAACCTTGTCGAAACATTGTACATTTGCTGTTATGTTAAACTTATATTAAAGTTTTTCTTCATTACCCATTCAAGCCGTCTCCAGCCATTATATGTTTGACTTGGTTTGAATATATTATTTCAAAACAACGGGGTTGTGTGCTGTCCTTTTATTGCTTGAACTTTTTGCCAACAAGTCACAGACATCTACTGTAAAGAATCCCAGCCTATATTCAGAACCTGACATATAGCTGTTTTCAAAGCTGAGTTTCATTAGTAGTTACAACCCATTTTATGATCTCCTAGCATGTGATGGGGGGAAAAGGGGGTTTTGATAATAAATAGTTGAAAAGAAAAAATCACAAGAGGAACAAGACTTCATTAATTTATTTTCAAGGGAAGATAGTCTTTGCTTTGGAAATTTTTTGTGCATACTTTGTTTTTATTAATGGACAAATGCATTGTTTACAAGACTTCTTAAGAGTTTTGTAGAAATGTCAGTTTGAGAATTTTTTACATTTTCCTTTGCAAATTACACTAAATAAATGTTACAAAATGATAATTATCAGTTCTGAAATTTGTTTGGGTAAAACATTGTTGAAATGGAGTTAGAATTATTATTTTTACTTAAATTATGAAACACCTGAAAGATGCTCACTTTTCGTGAAAGGGTTAATGTTTAAATTGAACATCAGGGCATTTAGAACATACTTTTCATTCTATTAAATTGGCAGAAACTTCAAAACCTGTTTTTTTGTTGCACACAGCACTACCAGCTCAGAAGTGCATCCCTACCGAAAAAAATTTCATCGCGTACAACACAGTAAGCCTACTAAAGCTTCTCGTAAAGTCTTTGAGAGGAACTTTGATGATCCACGGGACCGTCCAAAATGGAATGCTAACCAACCTGAGAAATCTTTTGTGAAGATGACTGAAAGAGACCCAAATTTCCACAGAAGAAAAAAAATGCAGGAGCTGAGAAAACAACACTGGGAAAGAGAAAGAGCGTATCAAGAAGCTATGGCTGAGGCACGACGTTCTGTCATTTCAACTAGAAAAACAAGGAAAAATATTCACCTTAGCCAAGCTCCCTTAAGTTCGGAAGGTGAAGGAGGGCAAGAGAGTAGCTCAGACGTCGAGAATCGGTGATAAAGTTTGATCATTTCTGCATTATAACTTTTCATTTTGTTTTCTAATATCAGTTGTTGTTTATTTTCAGCATATAAGAAAAATGAAAGGTATTTTAAAAAAGAGATTTATTAGATCTCATACATGGTTAACTGCTCAGTAAATATATATTTTTATTCTGTTTTTCTTATTTATTATGCCATAAGTGTAGTGTGTGTAATCAAAACCTTTATGTTCAGAAGTTTTGTTGACAGTGCAACAAGATTGCTGAATGTTTATCATATCAGATTTTAATAAAATCATTATAAAGTAATAGGTTTTTAGTCATATAACAGGCCTCTCTCCCAGAAAATCAATCAATAAAACTTCAGAAGGAAATATGTCTGTGATAAGAAGCTATTTTTAAAATATTGTTGCATATCTGCTTGTTTGTTAATTTCCCATTGAAATTCTTTCTGAGAAACTTCAGCGATACAAGACCTTTCTTAATTAAAACTAGTTTATTCTTTCTCAATACAATTTTGTAATACACAGAATTTCCACAGTCAATATGTTTGCAATCTCGATAACAAAACACACACTTTATATTACTGTTAATATCGCTCACTTGACTCAATTATCTATCTCTATATCTATCTATCTGCAACCATTTCTCTGTTTTATTTGCCGGACTTATATACTAAAAAAAAGAGGGCACCTGTAACAGGCTAGAGTTGCCAGGAAAAGTCATGATCCTTCTAGAAACTCCAGCACGCATGCTCCCAGCGTCTCGTGATTTCCGCTGTCGTAACAGTATTGTAATCTGGTGATATCTGATCACTGTATGCAACAAGTTACACAAAAACTATTATTTTGTCTATTTTAGGATAATGTGTGATCTTTATTTTCTTGATTTATAAGAAAATTTCTTATTGGTAATTCATTTATAACAATTTTTAAATAGAAGGTTGTGAAGACTTGTTGTTTTCTATTTTTTTAAATACCATACATGTTGAATGAAACAGTGTATGTAATCACCTTGTGTGCATACTTAAAAGAGAAACCTGTTGTTCCAGGGATTCAGTTTGAAATAAAATTATATCTCAATTGAGGATATTGAAAATCAAAATATTTTAAAATGTACATTTCTAATTGCTAAGATTTAATTTCATGCACATTATATTTATTGAAAACAAGACCCATAGTGTTAAAATGAATCCAGAGTAGGCTTAATAACATTGTTACATCTTTTTTTTTAAATTACTTTCTGTTCACTTTAAACTTAACAAAAACAAAACCATCAAAACATTATCTGTCTGATTTAATACAATATTCATATGTAAATTATAGGTCTAATATCATTAAGTTGACACGTAGCAGGACTGTCAACTTTTAGGAATCAGTTTGATTCAGACTTTCGAAAAAGTAAAATTTAGTGCATGGTCATCTTCTGGAGGGAAGGGAGCAGACTCTACCAGAAAATGTTTTATTCAGTGAAGAAAATGGTGCATTTCTTGGACCAGTGTGATCTGAATTTGACTTAAATCCAGCCAATCAACAAACCACAATGTATTATTGAAAACTGTTAGTATGACCAAAAAATGAGAATTTATTACTAATGCATGAGAGTGTTGGCAGCAATGCATGTTGAAGAACTACTATTATACACCAACTTAATGCTAAGTAAAAGAACATCTGATAAAAGAATATCCATGGGAAGAGACTTTCTATTTACAGCAATTAAAGTCATCTGACACTTGATTTAAATCTGATTAGTCCACAGACGTTGTTCTCCACAAGTTTTAAGCCTATTTTAGCATAATTAAAACACATGGGTGTGCACACACAGTATATTGGTAAACATATTTGGTATTACAGCAATTGTACAAATAGAAACTTTAAAGCATAACCCAACATACAAAAAGACAGTGGCCCATGACTTATCACATGTAATTTAAATTATATTTCATGCACTACCAAAAATATGTTTGGGAATACTGACTGCAGGTGTGCATTTTGGTGAACTGATTTTTTAATTTTATCTTTTGAAAACTAAGTCAAGTATATAAAATGAGTTTTCTATAGGACATTGGAAACCCTACATATAAATAACTACCTATAGCCATAAAGAAAGCTGGAATTTCAAGGATACATGTTATTGTAATAGATAATTTGTGCTACATCAAATGAGTTAACATAAATACTGTATTTTTTGGTG